CACCATAAATCATTATGGGTTCGGAAGGATTTTCAAAAAATTCAGTATGAAATACACTTGCCACCACACGCTTCACAGTGTTCTAATGGCGCCCTCTGTTACAAAACCGTTCTAATCAGCCAGGACACAACCAGATCATGCAATCATTCTTCCAGCAGTCGGGGTGAAAGAGTAAAGAAAGATAAAGGGAATGGGGTAGGTCTCCACCTTCACCTTTCCAGAGCCACATCCGCAGCTTCTTTGGCACTGGAACGACAGGTTGCCTCAGGGCCGCTCCGACCAGGATTTTGGTGTGTAGACGAATGCACAATGTGAGGGGTGACCGGGTGCATGAGTGATGTTTGCAGCTGGGAAGGCAGTACCACTGTGCCCTTACCCGACTCCGGTCTTCGACTGCGAGTGATTAACCGAGAGAGTGATTCTCCCACCATACCACCTGTACGTTTCATTTCTCTTTGAAATTTTTGTATTTTTTGTTGTTTTCTTTTCTTTCCCTCTTTTTTCTTTCTTTCCTTCACTTTTCTTCCTTTTTTCCGTCTTTTACTCATTCTTCTATCCTTAATCGGTTGACAGGATAACTAGCTATTTTGACAGCTTCTGCGGTTGAGACCTAGTGGGTATGAAGCTAACCGGTGTTGACGACCTGCCGATAAGTCTTCTTATGAGTCTCAAAGTGCGCGCGACCTCCTAGTGTCTCGTTGCCCGGGGTAGACAAAAACACTCGTGGGAGTCGTAGACGTTGTAGTGTCTCGTTGCCCCAAAATAGACAAAAACACTCGTGGGAGTCGAGACGTTTATTGGTTAATCATGGTCCTAGATAGTACCGAAACGTGCCGAGGTGACGCTAAACAATGCAAGCAATAAATGCAGTAGCGAAGCGAAAGCGTGTCGCACGTGTTGCGTGGGTTTGAACAGGACACAGCTTATACATACATCTGAGCGGAAAACCGTGCTCAGTAAAACAGGCAGGAGTAAAACAAAGAAATATCACAGTTGGAGTCAGAGTTGATTGTGAAGAAAATATGAACGAAAAACGTCCTCGTGGATTGCTCCTTTTCTTCATACAATCATGGTCACTACAGCAGCCCACCGCTAAAAGCACAAGCAAAAGCTTTCGATTCAGAAACGAGTTTGAAGAGCAGGCAATCGTTAGCGTGTGGCCGTGCTGCAAGACATGAACTGGCGGNGGCATTTGTGGACTGTTTTGCGTCAGTCGAACATCAACCAGATTCGTTGCATCGGATGTCAGCATGGGAACCATAGTGACGTATCCTCAATCGGTCATTAGATGTTTCACACCATCCGAATCGTTAGATGCATCGTGGTGTCAGGTGGCTTTATTCTTTTCCAGCGTCCATAATCGTCGGCGTGCCAGAATGAACGAAGAAAACCGCTTGTTGTTCATTTATGCAACCGTAGAAACGTAAATNACGTAAATCGTCTCCAACAAACTCTTGAGATCCAAAGGGGCCACGATCGGACGAGGGGGTGCCAAAGTTCTCGCTGAACCTCGAGGCAACCAATGTACGTTTCGTCTCTGGAAGTGAAAGATTGTCGGAGAAAACCGGTGCAGCATCCTAACGTTCCAAATTGCTGCATCAATCATAAAGAACCTTTGAGCATACAAAACAAATATTGATATAAGACATCTCGTGATATAAGTCGTAATAGGTATTGCTCACGTTATACGTTTGTGTGGATCGTGTTTTGCTCGATCCCACAGACGAGCAGGCAAAACAATCCTTCGGCCTGAACGTGCGACTGATGTCTTGTCCTGGTCTGATAAGGTGTTTGTACACTACTGATTTGAACGTGAGACAGTTGCCTCATTCGAAATCGTAGCAGGTACTGCGATCTGCGAGCTCGACTCTGAGGTAGGTGCCTCAAGCATCGTCCGTTC